CAAGGCTAGCGCTCTACCACTTGAGCTACAGCGCCACTTCCGGTTTCCTGGTGGTTTATTGGAGATAGGAGTCTCACTGTCTCTCCTGCCTGGGCTGGCTTTGAACCTCGATCCTCAGATCTCAGCCTCCTGAGTAGCTGGGATTACAGGCGTGAGCCACCAGCGCCCGGCTCCGGGGACCAATTTTAGGGGTGTAGAGTCAGGAATTCATGCTCTGAACTTAGTGTTGGGACCACTTATTTTATATGTTTCCCTTCAGAGAGTTTCTGAATCCAGCTAACAGGCTCCCTGTCCCTTATGATTATCCCTCAAGCCATTTGGGGCCTTGCTGGACCAGCTGTTCCTGCTCCCCTTGTCTCCGGCAGGGGGCAGTCTTTTAATAGTAGTTCTGGTGCTAGGGGAGGAGAGCAGAGGTGAGGGGGCCAAGCTGAGGCAGACCCAAGAGCTGGGAGACAAGCTGGGTGGCCCTGGCAGCCAGGAGGTGAGAGGAAAGGACACCATCCTTAGTCCTGGCTTGTCTTCATTGCAGGGTGACCAAATGCCAGGCCTTGAGGGTACTTGATGCATGAACGTCAGACCATTGCTATTGTTGGTTGTGAGTTTTTGGTTTTTAATCTGTTTTCTCAGGGATTTTCCTCTGGCAGGACAGCAGACTCTCCTGGGATGGTGTAATTGGAAAAGAAGTGTGTGTTGGTTTCTCTTGTTCTCTGATAAATGCTGAAGGGGTTTGTGTTACATGGGCTTGTGGGGAAAGGATGGATCTTGGTCTTGGTGCTGTGGACATCTACCAGTGGCAGTCCTCTGCCCAGTTGTAAACAGCTATTGTCAAAATGCCCCTTGGGAACAGGATCACCTCTCCCTTTTAACAGCTCCTGGCTTTAAAGTGGTATGCGGACCAGGGTACCCCTGTCAGCAGGGCTGGACACTGCCCGCTGCTTGCCTGGTCCCTTCAGTCTGAGGAAGAGGCTAGGCGACCCCCAGCTCCTGTCCCCAGAACATCTGTGGCTGAGTCCAGAACTTTATTTCATGTTGTCTCCCCAAGAAGAGGGGAGTCTGGGCTGTTCTGCCTTCTCTCCTGGTGCCTATACCCTGCCTCTGCCATGTCCCTGCTCCTCTGCTTGTTTCTTCCTCGGTGAGGGAGAGGAGGGAGTGTCACCCCTTCCAGCTTCCCATGCCCGCAGGTCTAGTATGTCCCACCAAGTGAGCAGAGGAGACCCAAACGGCTGTTGCAAAGTCCTATAAAGGAAGAAAGGCCTTTGCAGTGTTTAGGGTAGGAAGAGTTGAGGTATGAAGTGCTTCTCCCCAAATACCTTCCTCCTGTGAGCATGTCTGTTGAGGGTGTATGGAGTCCAGAGCTCCACTGAGTTTGCACTCAGAACCTGGTGCTTGCAATCACCCAAAGCCCTTTTTTGCTTCAGTTGTTTTTTCAACAGGGTCTTGGGGTTTTCCCCAGGGCTAGCCTTAGATTATGAACCTCTTATACTCACCTCAAAGCTGGACTTGCAGGCATGGATCACCACACAAGCTTGTTGATGGGGATGGAGACCTTGCTAACTTTTTACCTGGATTGGCCTGGAACCAAGATCCTTCAGAGCTTTTGTCTTCTCAGTAGCTGGGATTACAGATACGTGCTCCCACCACTCTGATCCCTTAGAAATTGTGGTCATAAAATGTATTGCTTCAGCTATTTTCCATTTCCAGAAGTTTTTCCTTGTCTTTGACCTATGCATCACCTCCCATCCCTACCTCACCTTCCAGCAGCCCTTGCTGCCTCTGTAAATAGCATCCTTTAGAGGTAGTTTGGGGTGTGTGTTGTGACATCACACCCTTCACTGGTCAGATCCCAGGTTTACTTTAAGAACATGAGCCCTGTTCTGTGGCCATGGAGGCCTTGTTGAATGCAGTGGGAAGAGAGCAGTGAGTTTCCCACTGGCACCTCGGTGCTGTGTGCTCTGTACAGTTGAGTATCCCCAGTAGCTTGTAGATGAGGTGCCCTTACCCTAGTGCCCCGGTGTGGCTCCATTGCCTGTCAGGATTTGCTAATGTTGCAGGTGAGAGCATCTTTCCTAAGCCCTGGTGGAAACCTCTTCTTCCTTCCTTCCAGACTCAGGCGTCCTGGCGTGGACGGCACTGCAGAGGTGCTGCTCCAGCCTCCCCCCCAGCCCTTGACGGACACCTGAGTACCTGGACACTGTCCCTTTCTCCTGTGCTCCCGTCCTTCCCACCTGAATGAGCCTCCTCCCAAGAATCTCCTCCCTTGTTCCTTAGAGGACCCCATCACTGCCGTCGCCATTGCCACCACCTCTTTAGGCCCCAGCAACTGACTTGCTTTCTACTTTCTGGTGAGCGAGCTTTCTGATGCTTTCTGGGAGAGTGTCTGTCTGCTATTTTTCACTGGCTTCTTCCCCAGTCCTAGTCCTTGGATGCGCTGTCCAAGCAGCCAGCCAGCCCTGATTTGCTTGTTTTTGAGACAAGTTCTTGCTGTGTAGCCCGGGTAGGCCTCAAGCTCACAGTTCTCCTGCTTTGGCCTCCTAAGCACTGAAATTACAGATGTGTGTTACCATGCCTGGCTCTGGTGTTTTTACTTGAGGAAAGTCATTTAGGTAAATATCCCAGACTTATGCCTAATCCTCAGAACTGACCTTTTCTCTCTGGTAGCTCCAGCACTTTTTCTATGCCAGGAAGGTCCATGCCTGCCTCCGTTGGCCTCCTGACCAGATTCTATGTGCCCTGTCTCTTTCCTTGGTGGGAGGATGGTGACCTGAGATCTGGCCTAATGTGTCTGGTGTGAGTGCTGTAGGCCTGTCCCCCTGTGCAGGACAGTGGCGGGGATTAACTGCCCCCTTCTTCTCCCCAAGGATCTTCCCCAGATGTGAAGGTTCCTCCCCAGCGCTGCTGAGGCTGGAGCAGTAGCCAGTGTCCTGGGCCCTAGGTTTACCCCAGCACCAGCACCTGCCTGAAGAGACTCTGGCCCTCGCTCTTCCCGGGTGAGGCCCCAGGTGAGGCTGGATGCAGGTGAGCAGCACCCTGTGGAGGAGAAGGGGCTTGAGCTTGCCTGCTTCTCCTCTCTGTCTGCCAGGTCCCTTGCCTACCTTGGCTCAGCTTCGGCTACCCCATGGCATGAAAGGCCTTGTGGCTGGCCTCAATGAGCCCTGTGACAGTGTCCACTGAGGTGGGGGATTAGGACGATGGCCAGTCTGCAGAGGCCGTGTCAGCCTCTGCTCCTGTGTCCACAGGTGTTGGGACAGTCGAGGGCTCCCCTCTCCTCACCCCAGCCTCTGGGAAGCACCCCTAGGACCATAATGGCTGCAGAGACACTCAACTTCGGGCCTGAGTGGTGAGTTGGTGCTCTGGCTGGGCTGGAGGGGCTAAGGTGAAGAGCAGAGCCCCTCAACTGGTCTCCCTCCTCCCTCCTTCTCCTGCCTCTGTTAGGCTGAGGGCCCTTTCCCGTGGTGGCAGTGTAGCCTCCCCACCCCCATCCCCCGCCATGCCCAAGTACAAGTACAAGCTGGCCGACTACCGCTACGGACGTGAGGAGATGCTGGCTCTCTATGTGAAAGAGAACAAGGTATGTGGGGGTACAGGGGGGCCTGGGGAGGATGCCTATGCAGCCAGAGGCCCCGAGCATGTGTCCTCTGCCCCACAGGTCCCCGAGGAGCTGCAGGACAAGGAGTTTTCCGCCGTGTTACAGGAGGAGCCACTGCAGCCCCTGGCCCTGGAGCCTCTGACTGAGGAGGAGCAGGTGGGGCAGGCAGGGGCTGAGGAGCCAGGCAGGGACTGGAGGTGGGGACTGAGGCCAGGAAGTTGGGGTCCTCACTCCCATCCCTGGCTCCCTCCTCAGAGAAACTTCTCCCTGTCAGTGAACAGCGTGGCCGTGCTGAGGCTGATGGGGAAAGGGTCCGGGCCCCCCCTGGCCACCACCCCCCGCGGCAGGGGCAGTACACGGAGCCGAGGTAGAGGACTGGGAGTGGGCACTGTTGGGCCTGTGGTGTCAAGGGGGAGGCATGACACTGGCAGGTGTCACGTCCAGGCATCCTACCTTTTCCAGGCCGTGGCCGTGGTGACAGTTGCTTTTACCAAAGAAGCATTGAAGAAGGTGAAGGGGCTTTTGGACGGAACCCCAGGGAGATCCAGCGAAGCCAGAGCTGGGATGACAGGTGGGGCTTGGAAGGAGGTGGCACAGGTTGGTCAGTGCAAGATGACCAGAGACCTCCTTTAAGCCCTGGCCAGTGCTTCCTGGGCCCTGCCTGCCCATTTTCTTGTGATTCTCTTAGAGTCCCCATGATCGGTATACCCCATTGGGACCCTTTACCCCTACCCCGCCTGTCCCTCGGTCACAGTTCTGAAGGGTAGTAGGGAGGAGGCCTGTGTCTGAACAATGCATTTCTCCTACAGAGGTGAGAGACGCTTTGAGAAGTCAGCACGGAGGGATGGAGGTATGAGAGCTATGAGGGTGGTAGTTGGAGGGGGATGTCTGGGGTGGGTGGCCCTAGGTAGAAACAGGAGGAGCGTGGAGCAGGCTTCTGTCATCATCTCAGGTTCCATTGTAAGAATCTGGTCCATCTTTCCTCCAACCCCCAGCTCGATCTGGCTTTGAAGAGGGAGGGACTGGCTTGAGGAAGGAGCACGCTCGCTCGGATAGCGAGAACTGGCGTTCACTTCGAGAAGAGCAAGAGGAGGAGGAAGAAGGCAGCTGGAGACTTGGGGCAGGACCCCGGAGAGATGGAGATCGCTGGCGCTCCTCCAGCCCTGGTGAGATTGAGCTGAGTGGGGTTCAGAAAGTATCTTAGATATGGGGCCCCCCCATTATAAGAAGAAGAGGGCAGAAGGCTCCTGGGGTGGGCCTGAGTGAGAGAAGTCCTGGGTGGTTCTTGGGGAGCTTCTGGCTGGACAGAAAGCTGATTTTCCCTCCCCAACTTTGCCTCTAGATGGTGGCCCTCGCTCTGCTGGCTGGCGGGAACATGGGCGGCGCAAGTTTGATTTTGATTTGCGAGGGGAGAGAGGAGGGTGTGGTGAAGAGGACGGGCGGGGTGGGGGAGGCAGCTCTCACCTCCGGAGGTGCCGAGGGCCTGATGGCTTTGATGATGACAAGGATGGGCTCCCGGAGTGGTGCCTGGATGATGAGGACGAGGAGATGGGCACCTTCGATGCCTCTGGGGCCTTCCTGCCTCTCAAGGTATCTGTGCAGTCCCAGGGAGAGCTGGACAGAGGTCGGTGGGAGCCCGTCTGGGTTCCCTGTTCCCCTCCCACCATGAGCTGTCCACCTCTTCCCACACAGAAGGGCCCCAAGGAGTCCATCCCTGAGGAGCAGGAGCTTGACTTCCAGGGCTTGGAGGAGGAGGAGGAAGAGCCTTCGGAAGGGCTGGATGGAGAGGTACCTGAGGCAGGTAAGGCTGCACGGCCAGCCCAAGAGCCTTAGTCTGGGGCTAGGAGGCCCTGGGCTGTGTCGCTGGGCTTGTATTGGCTGCCCACCTACCTGTAAGTTTTGGCTGCTTAGAAACATGGCGGAGCACATGGTTAGATGAGGGGAGGAACCTAGAGCAGCAGAGCAGCAGGTGAGAAGCCAGCTTGATCAGTATGACCTTTGAAACCCCCTCGCTCTGAAGCCTGGGTGGCACTCCACTGGCCTGCACATAGCTCTGTGTGATGTTGCAAGACCCACTGATGTCCCACAGCATGGGGCCGTCGTGGGGGAGAGCCAGTGTCACTCAGGTTTTAGCTCCATTGCTTGAGCTACAGTTAAAAGGGCAGATACAGGCCTGGGAATGTGGCTTAGTAGTGGTAGAGTGCTTGCCTAGCATGCATGAAACTCTGGGTTCGATTCCGCAGTACCACCACATAAACAGAAAAGGCCAGAAGTGGCACTGTGGCTCGTGTGATAGAGTGCTAGCCTTGAGCAAAAAGAGGCTTAGAGACAGTGCCCAGGCCTTGAGTTCATCAAGCCCCAGGACTGGCAAAAAAAAAAAGTTCAGGAACAATGTCCAGGCCCTGAGTTCAAGCCCTGGGGCTTACCCCCCCCCAAAAAAAAAAAAAAAAAAGTAGATACGCACTGCCTAGCACTCAGGTGGCAGCTTTGGGGAGGATAATAACCCTGCTTGAAAAGTCTGCGCCTTGTGCTCGTCTTGCTTGGCTTTTTTACTCTTGAGTGCCACTCCACCACTTGAGCCACAGCTCCATGTCTAGCTTTTTACTGTTAATAGGAGAAAAGAGTCTCATGGACTTTTTCTTTCACGGCTGACTTTGAACTAAGTTCCTAGATCTCAGCTTCCAGAGTAGTTAGGATTATAGATTTGAGCTACTTGTGCTTGCTCTAGCTTTTCTACTAATAATTGTAGATAGAACACTTTGGAACTTTCCTTCTCAAGCTGGCTGTGAGCCATCCTCAGATTTTAGCTAGGGTTAGGTGCCTAGCTGTTGGTGTTTTGTTGTTGTTGTTGTTTTTCCGGTCCTGGGGCTTGAATTCAGGGCCTGGGCACTGTCCCTGAACCTGTCTGTGCTCAAGGCTTAGCGCTCTACCACTTCTGTCTTTTTCTGCTTATGTGGTACTGAGGAATCAAACCCAGGGCTTTGTGCATGCAGGGCAAGCACTCTACCACTAAGCCACATTCCAAGCACTATTGGTTTGTTTTCATATGCAGTGCTAAGGTTTAAACTCTGGTCCTTGTGCTTGCTGGGAAAGTTCTCTGCCACTTGAATCATGCCTCCAGCCCAGAGTTCATTTTTCAAGTAGGCCCTCACTATGCATTTTACTTTTGTACCTAAGCCAGCTTTGGATCTTCATCTTCCCATCTACACCTCCTGTGTATCACAGGCATCACCTGCCATGACTGGCTTGTTGGTTGAGATAGGCTCTTACTAATCACCCTCCCTCCCCCGCCCCACCACACACACACACTGGGGTAGCCTTGAACCATGAAACCATGAGCCTCTTATTTTTCACCTCTTAAGTACCTAGGATTATAGACATGAGCTACTATGCCCAGCCTCCTCCTCTTCAGTTTTGAGTTTTGGAAATTACCCTTCTCTTCCAGGTGGGAAGGAGTTGACCCCTTTGCCTCCTCCAGAGGAGAAGTCTAGCTCCTCATCTCCACTGCCCACCCTTGGCCCCCTCTGGGCAGCAAATGGAGCCGGGGACGAAACTGTAGATAAAGAGCTCCCTGCCAGTGAAGGTAGACGGGTCGTGCATGTGTGTGGCTGCTGTGGTGTTGTATGCTCCCTCCTTGGGTGAGAGGGGCCCTGGGGCCCTGTCCTTGCCTCCCTGCTCATGTGTCTTCACTCCTAGGAAATGATGTTCCTCTGAGTCCTGGGGTGGGCTCACCCCCTGGGCCACCAGGAGACCTGGAGGATGAGGAAGGCTTGAAGCACCTGCAGCAGGTGGGCTCCTTCAGGGTACAGGGCACCCCTGTCTGTCTGAACCCTGCCCCAGGTTCCATACTTGACACTCTGTTCTCTTGACCCCGGCCTGATATTGGTGGGGTTGAGAGGCAGCTGAACCTCTCTTTCAGGAGGCGGAGAAGCTGGTGGCCTCGCTGCAGGACAGCTCTCTAGAGGAGGAGCAGTTCACGGCCGCCATGCAGACCCAGGGCCTGCGCCACTGCACGGCCGCCCCTGCCCTGCCCCTCAGCCACGGCGCTGCCCGCAAGTGGTTCTACAAGGACCCCCAGGGGGAGATCCAAGGTAGCCATGGAGGCCAGGGCCACTGGGTCTGGGCCTGTTCAGATGACTGTGGTGGGCCCTTTGATCCCAGTGGTTTTTTTTCTCCTCCTATCCCTTACTGCCTTGGTTCAGGCCCCTTCACAACCCAGGAGATGGCAGAGTGGTTCCAGGCTGGCTACTTCTCCATGTCCTTGCTAGTGAAGCGGGGCTGTGACGAGGGTTTTCAGCCTCTGGGAGAGGTGATCAAGATGTGGGGCCGTGTGCCCTTTGGCCCTGGCCCCTCGCCACCCCCACTGCTGGTGAGCTAGGGCCCTGTAGGTTGCAAAGGGATGCGGGTGGCAGCGGACCTGACCCTCTTGCCGTCTGGGTGCTGGGTGTGCTCACATGGGCGCTCGTGTCCCCAGGGGAGCATGGACCAGGAACGGTTGAAGAAGCAGCAGGAGCTGGCTGCGGCCACCTTGTACCAGCAGCTGCAGCACCAGCACTTGCTTCAGCTTGTCGGCAGGTATGCAGGCTACAGGCCTCGGGTACAGGGCTGGTGGTAAGGTAGTGCAGGTGCTGCCCATGCCCCCTGTGCCCATAGCCGCCAGCTCCCACAGTGTGCACCTCGAGAAAAGGCAGCTATGGGAGACCTGACGCCGCCACAGCAGCAGCAGCTCACCGCCTTCCTGCAGCAGCTCCAGGCTCTCAAATCCCCCAGGTCTGCGGGTGGCCTCTAGGGGGAGGGGGTGGAGATGAGAAGTGAGGGGTCCAGGCAGCAGTGGCCTGAGTCAGCCTTCGCTCCTCAGAGGTGGAGACCAGAACCTACTCCCGACCATGAGCCGCTCCTTGTCGGTGCCAGATTCCGGCCCCCTCTGGGATTTACATACCTCAGTCTCATCACCCTCGGGTGAGTGGACCCCCCGCCCCCTCCCCACACAGGGTGAGAGCTGCAGGCCTCAGTGCCCTTCTGCAGCTGCCTCTGCCGCACACAGGTGGTGAGACCAGTCTTTGGGACATACCAATTAACTCTTCGACTCAGGGTCCAATTCTAGAACAACTCCAGCTGCAGCATAAAGTAAGTGTGAGGCCAGGGTCTCGGCACGGGCAGGGGGCTGGGTGCAGGCAGTGGGGCCTGGCGCCAAGCCCCTGGCGCTTGCAGTTCCAGGAACGCAGAGAAGCGGAGCTCAGGGCCAAGCGGGAGGAGGAGGAGCGCAAGCGGCGAGAGGAGAAGCGGCGCCAGCAGCAGCAGGAGGAGCAGAAGCGGAGGCAGGAGGAGGAAGAGCTCTTCCGGCGCAAGCAGGCTGGTGTCCCCGCTCTCTTGCTCTCCTGGAGTTAGGCCCACACCAGGGAGCGGCAGCCCTCCTCACTCACTGTCTCTTGGCCCAGGTGCGGCAGCAGGAGCTGCTGTTGAAGCTGTTGCAGCAGCAACAGGCGGCAACGGCCCCTGTGCCTGCAGCGCCCGGCTCCCCACCTCCGCCCTGGGCCAGCCTGTCCAAGCAGGGCCTGTCCATGAAGACGCTGCTGGAGCTTCAGCTGGAGGGTGAGCGGCAGCTGCACAAACAGCCCATGGCCCGTGAGTCACTGCGGGCCCAGGCCTCCAACCACCGAGTGGTAAGCTGGACACGACTCCCCTGGCTCTGGGGAACTCCTGGGAAACTTCTGGATTGCCCCTAAGCCAACACTGCATGCCCGTCTGGCTCCCTTCCTCTCTGTGCCTTACCTGGCTCTTTTGGGTCTTTTGTTGGAGCCCTCTGACTCACTCTCCCACCTTTTACAGCAACTTGGGGGCCTGGGTACAAACCCCCTGAACCAGTGGGTGTCTGAGTCCGGACCACTGTGGGGCGGGCCTGACAAGAGTGGGGGCAGCAGCGGTAGCGGGCTGGGGCTCTGGGAGGACACTCTGAAGAGCAGCGGGAACCTGGCCCGCAGCCTGGGCCTGAAGAACAGCCGGAGCAGCCCATCTCTTGGGTGGGTGTCTGCCTGCAGGGTTGTAGGGCGGGGGAATGGGGGAGTGCGGAGCACTCCCGCTTATCTCTGGCTCCCGTGCCACCCTCAGTGACTCCTACAGCCACTTGTCGGGACGGCCTGTCCGCAAAAAGACAGAGGACGAGGAGAAGCTGCTGAAGCTGCTGCAGGGGATCCCCAGGCCCCAGGACGGCTTCACCCAGTGGTGTGAGCAGATGTTGCACACCCTGAGTGCTGCGGGCAGCCTGGACGTGCCCATGGCCGTGGCCATCCTCAAGGAAGTAGAATCCCCCTATGATGTCCACGATTATATCCGTTCCTGCCTGGGGGACACGCTGGAAGCCAAAGAATTTGCCAAACAATTCCTGGAGCGGAGAGCCAAGCAGAAAGCCAGCCAGCAGCGGCAGCAGCAACAGCAGCAGGTGAGGTCTGGCGCCCAGAGGAGGGGAAAAGGGCCCTGGGCCCCCTTGATGCACCCTCCTCTCTTAGGAAGCATGGCTGAGCAGCACCTCCCTGCAGACAGCCTTTCAGGCCAACCACAGCACCAAACTCGGCCCTGGGGAGGGCAGCAAGGCCAAGAGGCGGGCACTGATGCTGCACTCGGACCCCAGCATCTTGGGTGAGTCATGAGGCTGGGCAGGAGCGGAGCTGGGCTTCCCACGCAGGCTACATAGGCTCTGGGGGAGCTGGAACATGCTTCTCCCCTCCTGCAGGCTACGCCCTGCATGGCCCTTCTGGTGAGATCGAGAGCGTGGATGACTACTGACCAGCCAGTCCCACCAGCCCCTGCCTGGGTGAAGGCCGAGGGTGGTAGCGGTGGTGGCGGCGGCAGCAGCAGCAACAGCAGCAGCAGCAGCAGCAGCGTGGATCCTTGGGTCCCCAGCCTGCAGGCTCCCTATTGGGAGCAGAGGAGGAAGCAGGGGCAGGGTCCCCAGCACTTGTTACAAACCACACGATGCACCTTAACTCACCCACCACGAGGCACTTTACGGATTGGGGGGAAGGAGATTTCCTTTTCTTTTTTTTAAGTGACTGAAGAAAACATTAGGAGAGACAAGTATCCTTTAAGAACTAGACTCTAGCACCCTCCCCCTTGGGGACAGTGCTACACCGTGGAAGGCTCACAGCAGTCGTTTTGTTTTTGTTTTTGTTTTTTAAGAAAAGATGAAAAATAATGAGAAAAAAAAGGCTGAAAGAGAAAACACACTGTTACTGGGGCTGTGGGGACACAGGCTCCCGGACCTGTCCTGCCCAGCCCCGAGGCTGCACTTACCCTCCTGCCCCTGAACGTGGGCCACTGGGGTAACTGGAAGCTGGGGCCAGCAGTTTGCACAGCACGGCCCCCTCGGAGCCCTGCCTGCCGACCCGCTGTGAACAGCCCCCCCTCCCGTTGCTGTGACTGTGCAGAGGTGTCCGGAACGGGGGCCAAAGTTGCCCCTTGGCGTCGCTGCTTTGGGGGAAAGTTGCACAAATCGGACAAGCTGCTTCCAGCCCCCTGCCCCCAGCTGCCATTCTGCACCCGCTGACGGGGAGACGAAAGGGCCTTTCGGTGCCAGCCTTCTGTCAGGCAGAAAGACTCAGGCCTGCTGAGGGACACCCCCCCCACATACACACTGCTGCCATTTCGGGGGACAGCCTGGGTGACACTGAGAGCCCCAGCTCCCTGCCTTGCCACATGAATGTATCTTCTGGCCCTCAAGCCCTGCCCCAGCCCCTCTGAGGAGTGGGCTGTTCCTTCAGGAGCTAGGGGGCGCTGTGTCTCGCCAAGTCCTTGCTCCTGGGAGGTAGGAAGGTGTTGAAGGCCGGAAATGGGTGGCTAGGGGCTGAGGACTGCAGTGCAGGGGGCTATCCGAAGGGACCTCCCCCACAGTCTGCAGCCAGCCTGTAGGGTGTGGACCCTCTGGGCCCCCGTGTCTGACCCCTCTGCTGACCAAATTGGGGAGGTGGCCCTCTCTCCCCTCGGTTTTTAGCAGGGAGGAATGGAGAGAGGCGCCTTGTCTGCCCTGCCTCACGCTGTCCCCTGCCTGTGCTGGGCTCCATCCATTCTTGTTTTTTTTTTCTAAGTCCCCCCCCCCCCACCTTGGGTTTCTCATTGAGCTTCTCCATCGACCTCATTGCTAGAGTGCAGTATTAGCGCAAAGCCGCCACTGCCGCCTCCATGAATGTATTTCCTCCTGCCCCGGGGAGGGGAGGGGAGGGGCCCTAGTTTCTTTCCCCATTGTCCCTGGAGAGATGGCTTTGAGTTTTGTTCATTTTTTGATTTGTTTTTGGCACCAAAGTGGCAACTGGGTCAGTGTTGGGGGTAAAGCTGGCTCCCAGGTGGAAGGCGTCCACCTGCTCCTCCTGTTTCGACAGTGTTAGCGACTGGGAAAAGACAATGTTCTCTCTAAAGCAATAAGGGGGTGATGGGCCGGGGGAAAGGTCTTGCTGCTGCTGGCCCCCAGCTCTTCCTCCCCTCTTGCCAGTGTGGTGGCATGAGCGGGGTGGGGGAGATGCCTGTTGTGACTGAATGTAACCACCCTGCCCCTGCCGCAGCCAATGCAGGGGAGGGAGGAACTTCCTGTCTCTTCCTGGCCCTTTCCCCCAGCTAGAGAGACTTTGAACTTGGGGGGCCCATGAGCCTGGAGAGGCCTTAACCCCCGTGAGGAAGTATAGGGGGAGCCCTCTCCTACCCCATCCCCTCTGAGAGTGGTCAATGTTTACAAGCTCTGAGCCCCCAGCCCAGGGACTCAGACCCCCATTCAATCCTTTCCCCAGTCTTCCTGGGCCCTTGCTGCCCCCCTTCCTGGGGTTTGGGGTGGTACAGGGGTCCTTCTGTATTCCTTTCTCATTCTTGTATTCTGTCTCCCTTGCCCCCTGCTACCCTGTGTGATTTCCCCTCTACTTGCCCCTGTAAATACTTGCCCCAATAAAACTTGGTGTGTGTTCTTCATCTGCCTACTGGCTTCTGGGGGTGTGTGGAGGGGGTAATAGGAATGGGTAGTGCGGTGAAGGGCTGGGAACTGAGGCACTGGGGTGGGGTGCAGCCCAAGGCTTGTGCCTATGCAGGAAACACTGGCCCTTGGCAAGGAGGAAGGGGGTCCCTCTGGCCTGCTGCTTTGCTTGGTGGGCAGGCAGCAGAGACTACAAAGACCGCAAGGGAGGAGAGCCAGGCACAGAGTTGGAATTGGTGGTTCCTTTATGGAAAAACTGAAAATATAATAAAAATTAAAATAAAACCAGTTTTAAAAAAGCCAGCCCCTGGAGTTTCCACCTCCTGCCTCTGGCCCTCCAGAGGGGTGAGGCCCTGACCCCAGGGCAGCAAAGGGAGGGCTTTTTATCCCTCCTTGTCCCCCATTCCATCCCCATCTTTTATCTCCACAGTGGGGGCCCCGGGAGGAACCAAACCTGGGTGGGGGAGCAGGGACCCAAGGCCCTGTGGCCCAGGGAGGGAGGCTCGGTGTGCACTCTGCCCCAAAGCTCCCGGCCTGTAGTGTGGGCATGGGCAGGGCCCCTCCCGGCCTGGGCCCAGCTGGGATTGGGGTCGTTAGTTCCAGATCTTGAGGAAGGAGTCCCAGGAGCCAGTGGCCACAGCCATTCCATCATCAGTGACCCCAAGGCAGCTCACGCGGTTGTCATGGCCAGCGAGGACACCTGGGAGCAAGAAGGACACCTGAATTTGGCTGGCCTGGGCCACTGACCCCTGCCTTCCAGGCACAGCCCCGCGTTCTCACCTGCGCGGTCGCCCTTCATGGCATCCCAGATGTTGCAATTGAAGTCGTCGTAGCCAGCCAGCAGCAGCCGGCCACTGCGCGAGAAGGCAACGGAGGTGATGCCGCAGATGATGTTGTCGTGCGAGTACATGAGCAGCTCCTGGTCTGCCCGCAGGTCGAACAGGCGGCACGTGGCATCGTCAGAGCCCGTGGTGAAGGCGTAGCCATTGGGGAAGAACTGTGTGTGGGGGGAGGTGTGCAAGGAGTTCAGGTCAGGGCCAGATGCAGGGAAGGAACAGGTCAGCCCAGCTCGCCCTCAACTCACAGCCACAGCGTTGATGTCAGACTCGTGACCAATGAAGGTCTGTCGACACATGGAATCTCTGACGTCCCACAGCTTGATGGAGGCGTCACAGGCGCCCGACACAAAGGTGCGACCATCAGGGGCCAGTGACAGGGACATCACATCCCCACTGTGTCCAGCAAAACCCACAGTCTGCTGGCCTGTCTCAATGTCCCACAGGGCACTGGAGAGGGACAACACAGAGGAATCAGAAATGGGGTGGAGGGCAGATTCCCTAGCTCCCCACCCCTTCTCACCATGTGGGCCAGGCCTCAGGAAGCTAACTCCTGACCCAAGCCAGGCCCTTAGGGGGGAAGGGAGCCCTCTGGTGCCCACCCAGAGGCTCGTGTTCAGGCTGCTTTTCCCCAGGTGCACCATGCCTGCTCAGTGCAGGCCAGCCCACCCAGCCCCGGAAGGGCCTCACCAGGTGGTATCCCCAGAGCTGGTGATGATTTGGTTGTCATCCAAGAAACGGCAGCATGACAGGTACCCTGTGGAAAAGGGCTGGTCAGCCAAGTCTCAGGGAGGTCAGCACTCCCCCAGCCCAGTGCCCTTGCCCAGCCAGACTCCTCTCACCAGTGTGGCCAGGCAGCTCCCGGCTGACCCTGACATTGCCCTCTCGGGTCTTGAGGCTATAGATGGAGCAGATGTTGTCCAAACCCCCACAGGCTACGAAGTTCCCTGAGGGCGCGTAGGCACAGGTCATGACCCAGGAGGAGCGCAGTGGGATGGCATGGACCTGGGGAGGCGAGGTGCGGGCACAGCCAGAGTCAGCCAGAGCTCTGCAGCTTTGCACCCTCCACCCCAGGTGCCAGCTCTACCTTGTTGGTGGTGTAGCTGTCCCAGATGATTAGCTTCCCGTCCTGGGAGGCGCTGACCAGCAGCCTGGTGGACAGCGGTAGGGGAGAGGCAAAGGGATGAGGGTCTGGAGCCCCCTCATCCACCTAGGAGGAGGTGCTCTGAGCCAATCCCCAGCAGCAGCCCCCAAGTCCTGCAAGTGATCTTTCCCTGGTCCTCTGGGGTTGCCCAGACTTGCTCTGGCAAATTCATGTTGAGCACTTCACCAGACCTGAGGCTGCCCTCCCTGACCATTAGCCATCATTCCAGAACACATACGGAACCCTAGCCCTGCTACCCACACACCTTGAGTCTGTCCCCCAGTGCATGGCATAGATTTTTGCCAGGTGCCCACGGAGGGTCCTCCGTGTCCTCATCTGGATTCTCCCCACTGGGTCCAGCCCAGCTGTGATCTGGAGGTGGAGACAGAAGGGGCTCATGTAGACCCTGGCAACCGGGGTCTATACAGCTAGACAGCTGCAGTCTCAAATTCGGCCCCTCCCTCAAGTCCCCAGGCAGCCAGGACCTCCTCACCTGGGTCAGTGTTGAATCCCCACATGCTTTTCGGGCATCCTGTAAGCAATGAATGGCCAGAAAGAAACAGGAATGCAGCCGAGGGGGAGAAGAAAGAGGAAAGAAAGCGGGAGACAAAGCAGTGGAGAGGGTGAGACACTGAAATTGTCTCCCCGCCCTCAGGGCCCCCAGGCGCCTCACAACGGCAGTGGGCCGCTACAGGCCTGGCCCTGCCGGCCTCCCCTCCCCTCCCCTCCCCGGCCAGGCCCGGCCCGAGGCCCTCACCCGGATCTGGTTCCGGAGCTGCTCGGCCTCTTGTCTCAGTTGCTCCAGCTCACTCATGGCGCCGGGCCCGTGGGGCAGGGTTGGGGGCGGCGGGGGGCCGCGGGACGGGGGCCGGGGGAGGCAGCTCCTGGCCGCTGGCCCGAGGCCTGGGGGGTGCAAGGCTGACGTCAGGCCCCAAGGCCGCCGGGGAAGCGGAGGGGAAGGCGGGGTGGAAGCGCAGCCCGGAAGAGGAAAGCCCAGCAGGGGGAGGGGGCTGTGGTCCCCAGGGCTGCACCGGGGTCCCGGGCACCAGAGACGCTGCCAAGGAACAGGAGACTTCCCCAATCTTCCTCCCGGTCCCGGAAGCGGAGTGGGAAGTGCAAGAGGAAGCGCGGGGAACCCCTCCCTCGGGCCGCGGCCCGGGCGGGACACCGCGGCAGGAACTGGGGGAGGGGGGGTCTCTACGAAAACAGACCCGGCGTCCGCCCCAGCCCGCAGGGCACCGCCCTCCCAGCACCTAATTTTAAAAGGGGCGGGGCCTCGAAGCGCACCCCCACAGCCCCGCACCCCCAGCTCCGACGGCGCGGGGTGGGGGGGGAGGGAGGACCGGAGAGAGGGGGAAGCGGGGCTGTTCGTGGGGTTGCCTAGGCAACCGTCACCCGGACTGAGAGCACCTCATTGGTGAAGTGCTCCCACCCCAGCCCCGTTGCCACGGCAACCGCATCCACGGCAGAGACCTGTAGGGTGGGTGACCCCACCCCCGGCCCCGGCGCCCCCGCCCGACCCGGCCTCCGCCTCTCCCCAGAACCGGCCCGGGTGGCTGTTTACAGGATTTGGGGAAAGCCGATTGGGCACTAATAGGTTCGGAAAGGCTCACCCCGGATAATCCCGGAGCCGGCTGCACCCCATTAGCCGTCGGCCCCCGGGTGGGGGCGAAGAGCGGCGAGGAAGGCAGTCCCATGCCGCTGCTCCCTCCCGCGCCGAGCCCGCCCGCCCCGCCACGCCCGCACCAGGCCCGTGGGAGCCGCTCTGG